CTGAAATGGTAACACAGCTACGTAGGTTTGTCAGTTTGGCTAGGACATTCAAAATACCTAAAAGGGGGCGGCACACCAAATATGGAGTGATATATCCTCGTTTTATCCCTAGTTTGATATGAACATTTTCATTGTATCCAGGGCCACCCTTTACGCATGATTGGAATTTAAAGCCATTTGCTTTTTTAAATCAATCAGTTCATCGAAATGAAATTTTCAAATTGAAACTACTACATATTTGTTTTCAATAATTATTAGGTATATTTTTTAAATTAAATTAAAACTGGTCAACAACGAAAGCTACAAGTCTCAACAAGCAGATCCCTTTTTAGAAGTGTCTGACGGCATAGGCGGCTGGAGCAACATAAGAAGCGGCAACAACGGGAGCAGCTTTAACTACTGGAGCGGCAGCAACAACGGGAGCAGCTTTGACAACGGGAGCGGCAACAGCAACAAGGGGATCACGACGAACGACAGCGTTGAAACCATTGATGGGATCGGCAACATAGCTGACAGTACGTTTGTAACCATCAGCATCGATCAAAGAGTATTCACCACGAACGATATCACCATCACGTTCCTCAACATGACCCTTGTTGTCACCCGAGAGAGCATCTTGCACATCATAACCGTATTTGTATTGGGGATGAGGATCGTATTCTTCAAGTTCGACAGTCTTGGCCAAAACGGGAGCACTGGGTACGATGACAGCAGCGCTGGCGGCAGCGACGAAAGCGAGAGCGATAACGAACTGTAAATAAGGACATTTTTGGTTAGATTTTTTATTACACCTTTTTAATATGTATTTTTAAGTCATTGTTTGTTTATTCGATTTTTAATGTTTTAATAATTTATATAGTTGCAGCACTTTAAGAACATATCATTTTGAATTTTGTTTTTATTTTTTTTTACTTTATAAAATTTTCTAGGGGTTTTTCAATTAGTTTTTTTCGAATTCCTTTTAGTTAACTTTTTTTACACACCTTGTATGCCATTGTTGTTTTGATTGAATTTGGTTGTTCTTTACACTTTGTGTACTAAAGACTGAATGTGTCTTTTTCGATCGTAGGGCTAATAATTTATAGTTAATATTTTGTCATTGAGACCCATTCATTGTTATTCAAAGCGATACTCACAAACAATAATTGTTTCATTGAGTTCTTCATGCGAGTATGATGCTAGCTTTAGTACAAATGTACACATATGTATATGCATGTTTGTATGTATGGGTATTTACCTTGCGTAAATTCCAAGAATAACGCCAAAATAAACTCTAAAGAGAAGAACAGTTCACACACTTTGAAATATCGGATATTTCTATTTGCTTCGTAAAATTCATCCATTTCCGGAAGATAAGTGGCGGGTAACATTACAAAGCCATTGTCAACTATTTATATATTAATTTTATTGGATGACTCATGAGAAATGAAATTCTATTAATTATGTTGCTACTGTTCCCAAAAAATGCTAAAATTACAACGCTAATCTGAGAACCAGTAAGGAAAGCAGTAAAGTCGGACGGGGCCGACTATATGATACCCTTCACCACTATAGGTATATTAAACAGGACTATTAATATGAAATTGGATGAAATAAAATATGTGATATTTATCTAAATGTGAATCTACCTAGATCTATCCATAAAGTATGTAAATCGACTTCAAACAAATATAAATAGGTCATCCGTAGGGCTACGTCTATACCTCTACAAAACGCAACTACGTAATTCTATGCTCAATTCTGTAAAGTTGTGCAAAATTTGATGTCAATCTGACCAACATGAGGAGTTTGATGCCAATTTACTTGAAATCGGGCGTAAATACATATGGGAGCTATATAGAAATCTGGACCGATTTTCTCGAAACTTGGCAGACATCACTCTAGGCTCAATTCAGTACGTTATGCCAAATTTCGTGCAAATCGAAGGATATATAGGGACTTTGGTGCACCATTTACATGAAATCGGACGAATCTATATATGGGAGCTATATCTATATCTGGACCGATTTTCACGAAACTTGGCAGACATAATTCTAATATATTCTTTTAAGGCCTTTAAAGAATATTTTTCTAAGGCCTTCATAAGGCGTGGATTTTTTAAAGAATATTTTTCTAAGGCCTTCATAAGGCGTGGATTTTTTTAAAGAATATTTTTCTAAGGCCTTCGTATGGCGTGGATTTTTTAAAGAATATTTTTCTATGGCCTTCATAAGGCATGGATTTTTTTTTAAAGAATATTTTTCTAAGGCCTTCGTATGGCGTGGATTTCTTAAAGAATATTTTTCTATGGCCTTCATAAGGCGTGGATTTTTTAAAGAATATTTTTCTAAGGCCTTCATAAGGCGTGGATTTTTTAAAGAATATTTTTCTAAGGCCTTCATAAGGCGTGGATTTTTTAAAGAATATTTTTCTAAGGCCTTCATAAGGCGTGGATTTTTTAAAGAATATTTTTCTAAGGCCTTCATAAGGCGTGGATTTTTAAAAGAATATTTTTCTAAGGCCTTCATAAGGCGTGAATTTTTAACGAATATTTTTCTAAGGCCTTCATAAGGCGTGGATTTTTTAAAGAATATTTTTCTAAGGCCTTCATAAGGCGTGATTTTTTTAAAGAATATTTTTCTAAGGCCTTCATAAGGCGTGAATTTTTTAAAGAATATTTTTCTAAGGCCTTCATAAGGCGTGAATTTTTTAAAGAATATTTTTCTAAGGCCTTCATAAGGCGTGAATTTTTTAAATAATTTTTTAAAGAATATTTTCCTAAGGCCTTCATAAGGCTTGGATTTTTTCAATGAATATTTAACTGTACTTTGGCATTCCGGATTTTTTGAGACTTAACTACATCAATGCAAGATACGTTCAATGCAAGATTCAAATCATCGGATTTGTGTTTTTCTTTTTTATACCCTTCACCACACTGGGGTACAGGGTAATATGTCTTTGTGCATATGTTTGTAACAGGCAAAAGGAAACGAGATAGACACATGGTTCCTTTTGAGAATATGCATAGAATCACTTTCTGAGTCAATTTACGCATGTCCGTCTGTCCGTCCGTCCATATATTTTTGTGAACAAAGTGTAGGTCGCATTTATAATCCGATTTGGATGAAATTTGGCACAAGTCACTTATTCGGCCCAAGGACGAACACTATTGAAATTGGGTCAAATCGATTCAGATTTAAATATAGCTCCCATATATATTTTCGGCCGATTTAAGGTAAATGGGGCACCAAAATCCCTCTTTATCTTTAGATTTTTGCGAAATTTGGTACAGAGTACTGAATTAGGTCCAGAATGATGTGTGCCAAGTTTCGAGAAAATCGGTTCAGATTTAGATATAGCTCCTATATATAGTTTCGTCCGATTTAAGGTAAATGGTGCAACAATGTCCCTATATACCATTAGATTTGCTTGAAATTTGGTATAGAGACCTGAATTAGGTGCAGAATGATATGCCAAGTTTCGTGAAAATCGGTTTAGATTTAGATATAGCTCCCATATATAGTTTCGACCGATTTTATGTAAGTGGTGGACCAAAGTCGCTATATATTCTTGGATTTGCACGAAATTTGGCATAGCGTACTGAATTAGGTCTAGAATGATATGTGCAATGTTTCGTGAAAGTCGGCTCAGATTTAGATATAGCTCCCATATATTTATATTCATCCGATTTAAGGTAATTGGTGCACCAAAGTTCCTATATATGCTTCAATTTGCACTAAATTGGGCATAGCGTACTCAATTCAATCTAGAATGATGTTTGTTGAGTTTCGTGAAAATTGGTCCAGATTTTGATATAGCTCCCTTATATAGTTTCTTCCGATTTTATGGAAATGGTGCCCCAAAGTTCCTATATATCATCCGACTTGCTGGAAATTTGGCATAGCGTACTGAATTGAGTCTAGAATGTGTTTAGTTTCGTGAAAATCGGTTCAGATTTAGATATAGCTCCCATATATATTTTCGTCCGATTTTATGTAATTGGTGCACCAAAATCCCTATATATCTTTCGATTTGCACGATTTTTTGTACAGGTTACTGGATTTATTCTAGAATGATGTGTGCTAAGCTTCGTGAAAATATACATAGCTAGGATGATTGACACAACGTACTGAAATAATATAAATTAGTCTCTGGCAAGTTTCCCTGAAATCTGTTCAGATATAGGTATATATCAATAACGCGACGTCTGTTAGCATACATATGTAGAATAATACCCTTCACCACTTTGGGTACCCTTCACCACTTTGGGATTTCTCAACGAAACTAGGTTTTGAGGAGACCATTGTGTATTATTGTTCTAGACCCATCTTATAACATGATTCCATCTAGCTATATTTGTGATTCCGTCCGATCCGTATATCTATTATAATTTGTAATTATATTTAATAATATGAACCGGTGTTAGAAGTTTTTGTGTCTCCAAAATGCAGTTTCAACTCATTGTCTTCCAAAAGCATGAGAGTAGGGTATTTTGTTGCCTATTATTACTATAATTAATAGAAATTCAAAATACATTCCACTAGTTCCTAATCGCAATATTTTTTTTCACCTACATTCCAGTACGTACCACCTTAACATTGACCAAACAATCGACCTTCGAAAAAATTAACGGATCTTTTTTTTAGGTCTGATCTAGAGAATATTAAGTAGCTTATTTTTGTTTCCATTAATATCAACTTCTAAATTGACTGCAAACAACAACAAACCATACGCTAATGCCATAGCATAATGTCATTGATTCCCATCAAAAACCATGCATTATGTGCAGCAATAACCTATAATTTTGTACGTACAAGTACATACGTACGTGCATATTTCTTTAATAATATTAACCATCCACAGATGTAGGGCGATACATTGAATAATAATGAAGATGATTCAATGCCGTCCCAGGTACTATAAATTAATGGCTCTCTGCTTCAAGAAGGCACATTCGGTGTACTAAACACAAAGTGTAAAGAACAAATTAAACAAAACTAAAAAAACCAAACCTAACAACAATGGCCTACAAGGTGGGTAGAAGAAGATTGCAAATATTGGAATATAATAAATAAAAGAACATAAATAATAGAGAAATAAAAATGTATAAAATTCGAAAAAAATGTGCTAACGAAATTTGGTATTCCCTTTACAGTTTGTTATCGCTCTCGCTTTCGTTGCTGCCGCCAGCGCTGCTGTCATCGTACCCAGTGCTCCCGTTTTGGCCAAGACTGTCGAACTTGAAGAATACGATCCTCATCCCCAATACAAATACGGTTATGATGTGCAAGATGCTCTCTCGGGTGACAACAAGGGTCATGTTGAAGAACGTGATGGTGATATCGTTCGTGGTGAATACTCTTTGATCGATGCTGATGGTTACAAACGTACCGTCAGCTATGTTGCTGATCCCATCAACGGTTTCAACGCTGTCGTCCGTCGTGATCCTCTTGTTGCTGCTGCTCCCGTTGTTGCTGCCGCTCCCATTGTCAAAGCTGCCCCCGTTGTTGCTGCCGCTCCAGTAGTTAAAGCAGCTCCAGTTGTTGCTGCCTCATATGTTGCCCCAGCCGCTTATGCCGTCAGAAATTTGTAAAAAGGGGAACTGCTTGTTGAGACTTGTAGCTTTCGTTGTTGACCAGTTTTAGTTTAATTTAAATAAATGTTATTAATTTTTTGAAAAAAAAATTTTTTTTTTGGTATTTGGTTTTTTTTTTAATTATGAAGCTCCAGACAATTTAAAGTTAATTTAAAAGTGTATGTATTTTTTCCAATATTTAATCAATGTCAAGGACAGGGTATATCATAATTTTTCTAAAAAATTAATTCGTTCGTACGAGCGAAGTATCCGGGTTATTCCAACTTCTGCACAATCTCACAACATGTGAAGATGGAGCATATCGTTTCAACCCTTCTCGTAATTCCGATACGAACGATCAACATTTTAAGCAATTTGAGAATTCGAAATGTTAATCGTAATATTTTCTCCCAATCTAGATTAGGTGTAAATATGGGACCCATATCGACTATATAAGTTCAAACCGGTCATAGTTTTGGTACACCCCTTATAACATATTTTAAACGAATTTCCCAGCAGAAGATCGCTAATTTGGCATTGCTGGTTCATGGATGTCGAAAAATATCTTTGCAGAAAATTATTAATATATGTTTCTTCTTGGATCCCATATAAGTGCCCCTCAACGTGTGAAGTATTTCCCTAGGCTCACATTCCAGTCAAAGTGTCTGTTAATAACTCCTTCGGATAGAAATCTTAATAAGGGTACATATACCCTTTTATGAACATAATGGATTTCTGCTGTGGATTTCAATGGCTGCAAATTGACAGACAATATTCAAATTAAGATCATGTTCTGACTGTCGAAGAGCCTGTAATTAGATTTTCTGTGTTCTCGGTTGTCCAAACAATTCAAATGGTTCTTGAATGGTTTTTATACGCTCAGCTTTATGGCTAATTAGGGTATATTCACAATCATAAAATTGGCAAAATTGTTCCTCATATAAATATTGATTTTAACCCCATATTTCTTTGGACCGAATCCGCTTTACACTATTTAATATCGATTTAGGTGCAGGTGAGCACTATAACTCTCGAAGGGAGAACCCGATTTCATCCGAACGTTGCAGATCGTAATATTTCCTCCAAACTTAGTTTATGTTCGAAAGTGATGACTATCGGTCCATCTTACACAAAAGGTTAAAAAATGAAAATTAATTTTATAATATCATGCGAACGGACTATCCGATTTGAGCCAAACTTTACACAACCTATAATCTTTACCAAGGCTTGATATAGTCCGAGGATGGTACCCATTAGTCCACTCCATCCGGTACACCCCAGAATATTATTTGCTGAATATTATTTTTTAAACCATGCAAATTGACTTTCCGACTTCAACTACACTTTGCACAACCTTGTATTTCAACAATGCTTGTATAATGTTGGATATAATAATGGGACTTAACGGTCTAATACGGGTCAACATTTTAAAAACTTGTTAATCTCATATGAATCGAACAGAATATTCAATTTCATCCAAAACTTTGCACATGCGTATATATTTACATTTAATAAATAAAGCTGGAAGATGGGACCTGTTGGTACACACCTTCTGGTACCTACCGCACAAAGTGTTAGCATTTTGATTTTTTTAATACAATATCTAAATAATGGAATGAATTATTTAATTCAAACACAGCAAACCTCGAAATATGATATATGTCGGTAACACCTGAAACTTTTTTATTTGTTTATAGCATAAATATAACTGCACTGCACCATTTTGGGTATTTTGAAGGTATTTTCGATGGTAAAAATAAATTTTCATAAAAGGCACCCTTGCCATGTTAAGTATTTAATGTCCCTAGGCTAATTTTCTACTCAAAATGTCTGAAAACAACTTCTTTAAAAAAAATAAGTAATTGTAATGGAATTCTTCTGCCTTTAATTTGGTACTTCATTTTCTGAAAGGGCACAGAGTCTCGACCGAGTTATATTTTGATCATAAAAAAATTGTATGTCGAGTTTCCCATATCCGTCTGTCAGTTAGATATCATCTTTGAAATTTTGCACATGCATTTCCACAACTCCTGGGATGTTTGGTATTGAAAATGGGATATATTTGTTTATTCCAAATCCTTCAAGGCCAATAAATAGAATAAAAAACCAGTGAGCGGAGCAGTATAGTCGGACGGGGCCGACTATATGATACCCAACACAACTTCCACGAAAAACTAACTTTCTGTGGATCTATATTCTGAGCTTGGACAATATTTCTGGATTTTTGAAACATGTGGACCAACTAGAGGGCGACAATTATTACTAATGTTCAGTACAGCCCTTCTAATTACTTGTCCAGATTCCCTTCCCTTGTGATCGACTCGAAAAATATAACAATATAACTATCTGATCGTCACCGAAAATTGTAGGCGTTATCCTTGACCATAACTGGAACTTCATGGAACATTTTAAAGCGATCAGCGCTATATTTCCGCCCTCTAGTGTGGTAAAGGGTTACTAAATAATATCTGAATACATAAGTACCTGTAAATATGTATGTACAACTCCCACATCTGAGTACATACGACCATATAATTGGTATCAATTTAAAGGTCAACCACTGTCCTTGGATATACCAACAACTTTTCGGGTCTATGTCCTTCAGGGGTAAATCTATACGCTATAGAATACAAATTTGGTAATTTTTCACACAAAAGTCAGGATCAATTTGACCCGCTAAATATTGACCGATCCTTATCAAAACAGGCATGCTTATTCTTTGGCCAGATCCCCTTCTCTATGTAAAAATTCGCGATGTTTGGGTCATAATTGCGGCCTCTAGAGCGACCAGAAAAACCGATAAAAATTAAGTATTTGGTCCTTTTCATCCCTAGATATTAACCGATCTTTACCAAAAACAATAGGGGTCTTCATTGGCCAGAACCCATCCTACATGCAAAATTTCGTGAAGATTGGTCCATAACTGTGGCCTGTATCGTGTTTACAAAATATAATGGACAGACGGACGGACGGACACACATATCTAGATCGACTCAGCTAGTCGAGGTATGACGATCGGTATACTTAGGACCAATATTTTGCGGCGTTACAAACTCTTGGGGCTGCACAAAGCTATAATACCCTGACAACATAGTTGTGTAGGGTATAATTATTTCTAGAATTCGTTATAAGAAGCTCCCGACTTTTCTAAGAAATTTTGAATGCACAGGGTATAAAGAATGCGGCATATTTAGCTCAATAAGTTAATATCTTCCAAAATTTTACCGATAAAAAAAATCCCGACATATTTTAGGTATTCTAACCCTGGAGTATATACCAAAGTTTGGCCCTATGTTTTTACTTGTTTTCTTTTGTAAATAATTTTGCAAAGTAATTTTTTTTCATATCACATTTATTAAGATTTAGATTAAACAAAAACTAGTCAACAATCGGGACGGCTACAAAGCAAAACCCATGATAAAAATTACAAATTGCGTACGGCATAACCAGCTGGCAAAGCATAGTTGAATGGAGCAGCAACGTAAGGAGCTGGAGCAGCTACATATGGTGCTGGAGCGGCAACATAGGGAGCTGGGGCAGCGGCAACGACGGGGGCGGCAGCTTTAACAAATGGAGCTGTAGCAGAGTAGGTAACGGCAGCGCTGAAGGGAGCAGGAGCAATGAAAGGAGCAGCCTTGACAATTGGAGCAGCTACTGGGGCAGCAGCAACAACGGGGGCAGCTACAGGGGCAGCAGCAACAACGGGGGCAGCCTTGACAATGGGAGCAGCTACTGGGGCAGGGCAACAATGGGGGCAGCCTTGACAATGGGAGCAGCTACTGGGGCAGCGGCAACGACGGGTGCAGCCTTAACAACAGGGGCAGCTACTGGGGCAGCAGCAACAACGGGAGCAGCCTTAACAACTGGGGCAGCAGCAACTACAGGGGCAGCCTTTACAACTGGGGCAGCAGCAACAACGGGAGCGGCGGCGACGATGGGTTCACGACGAACAACAGCATTGAAACCATTGACGGGATCGGCAACATAGCTAACAGTACGTTTGAAACCATCAGCATCAATTACAGTATATTCACCGCGAACCACATCACCATCGCGTTCCTCCACATGGCCCTTAGAGTCCCCAGAAAGACTATCCTTGACATCGTAACCATATTTATATTGGGGATGAGCATCGAATTCCTCGAGTTCGGCAGTCTTGGCCAAGACGGGAGCACTGGGTACAACAGCAGCGGCGCTGGCGGCAGCAACGAAGGCGAGGACAACAACAAACTGTAAAAATTTAATATTTTTCGAATTATTTTCAAATAATCCTTTAAATCTAAAAATCATCCATGTCTGTTTTTCGGTAACGGACAACCCACCTTGTAAGCCATTGCTTCAGGTTTAAGTTTTGTTTAATCACTTAATTTGTTCTTTACACGAAGTGTACTAAACTGTGAATATGTTTTGTCCACATTGATGGTCAGAAATTTATAGTCGCTAGCTTGCCATTGAAACGTCTTCATTAGCATTCATAGTGTGACACGTTAATGGTATTTTTTCTGTCGACGCATTTGTCATGAGGTCGTCTAGTGGGCAAGTGCAAAATTCTTCCACATTTGGTAGAATGTCTTTTGTGTAGTTACTAACAAATTGTTATTGTTAATGCGTCACCTACGCTGTCACACATTTAATAAAATAAAAGTAATTGTTTAGTAGTAACAACAGCATGTTTGCGTGTGTGACCTTGAAAAACGCAACTAAAATTGGAAAGTGATAGTAAAAACTGTATTAAATTAAATAAATATGCATTGCAGTTCGTAGCTAATAAATATTCTGCATTTTTTCCCATGAGATCAATGGCCGAGGACAAGTTTAGAAAATTAACAAAAAAAGGAGAGGAAGGGCTCGATCATATGCAGTGTAGCCAAAACTTTGTTGATAAAAAAATGATAGAAAGTTGCAAGAATCTACTAATTTTTACTGTAATTTTCGATATATCGCAAAAGTCAAATTGTACATTTTTGCAGGTTTGAAACAGACAAAGTGCTAAAAAAATTGTAAAATATGCCAAATAA